ATAACGACGATCCGGATACGATAAAAAAGCGTTGGTTTACTATTTTCCTTTTTACCTTTCAACCTTCTCTTTATTATCAACCCTATCTTAATCGTATACATCGCGATGAACTGATAACTATTCTCATAACATATGTACCGGTAGTTGTTGCCAAGAAGATGACTAAAATGTAACTTTGTGAATTCGCCGAGATATAGTGGGCTATGACGTCATGCTCGTGTTCGAATAGGATGACGTAAGTTCCACCCAGCAGCCAAGTCACATGTGTGGACTTATTATATAGTTGAAATAACTTATGGAGTATCGTCTGGATAGTTCTTCTTTATTTGTGATGTTTTATCTTTCGTTGTTTGTTTCATTTCAAGAATAGAGATTGATAGATTGTGTGAATAATGGGAAGTTCTCAGTCACGGAACGAAGTTGAAACACGTTGGTGTGAATTCAGACAAGCCCTCCTTTCATCTGTTATTCGAGAGAGAGAGAGAGAGAGAAAGAGAGAGAGAGAGAGAGAGAGAGAGAGAGAGAGAGAGAGAGAGAGAGAGAGAGAGAGAGAGAGAGAGAGAGAGAGAGAGAGAGAGAGAGAGAGAGAGAGAGAGAGAGAGAGAGAGAGAGAGAGAGAGAGAGAGAGAGAGAGAGAGAGAGAGAGAGAGAGAGAGAGAGAGAGAGAGAGAGAGAGAGAGAGAGAGAGAGAGAGAGAGAGAGAGAGAGAGAGAGAGAGAGAGAGAGAGAGAGAGAGAGAGAGAGAGAGAGAGAGAGAGAGAGAGAGAGAGAGAGAGAGAGAGAGAGAGAGAGAGAGAGAGAGAGAGAGAGAGAGAGAGAGAGAGAGAGAGAGAGAGAGAGAGAGAGAGAGAGAGAGAGAGAGAGAGAGAGAGAGAGAGAGAGAGAGAGAGAGAGAGAGAGAGAGAGAGAGAGAGAGAGAGAGAGAGAGAGGAGGGGGGAATGGAGAGAGAGAGAGAGAGAGAGAGAGAGAGAGAGAGAGAGAGAGAGAGAGAGAGAGAGAGAGAGAGAGAGAGAGAGAGAGAGAGAGAGAGAGAGAGAGAGAGAGAGAGAGAGAGAGAGAGAGGAGGGGGGATGGAGAGAGAGAGAGAGAGAGAGAGAGGAGGGGGGATGGAGAGAGAGAGAGAGAGAGAAGGGTGGATGACAGACAGGTATATAAACAGATATGTAAACAAGACAAGAAAGAGAGAAGAAACACACAAAGAGGAATAAACATACAAGCATTTAAACAATTTACCAGATCAATTTAATCACTCTGACATATATGGAAACAGACAAATATATGATAGGTAGATGGCCCGGCAGATATACAAATGAAAGAGAGAGAGAGAGAGAGAGAGAAAAGAAAATATATGGGTTATATACAGATTGCCACTGAGGAACGCATTATTAAGAAATTCATGTCAAAATTGTTCCTCCAGGTAAAATAACTTCTGGTCTACCTGAATTTCACAACAGAACGAAAATAGATAGAGTTGCTGTATGTTGTAAGTCAGCCAAAAGTACCTGAGTCTTGTGTACAGAGATTTTTATCCATTTCTTTTGAATATCGTGATCTTATGGAGGTTGAATGTATGTGCAGAGATGGATATATATGCGCATGTGAATCAGTTTAAAATAAACACATAGTAACTGCATTAAATGTTTTTTTATTATTGAAAAATACCTTCTAAGAAGGAAAATATCACAAAGCACATAACCTTTAACAACTGACTTCTGATTCTATTAAAAAACTGTCAGGTTCCTGGATTCATGTGTTGCCAAGTGCGACATGCAGATTGCAGAGACATGTTGCAGTGTGTTGCATCTGGACAGACGCCAGCAGGTGACTTTGCGCCGGTCTCTCGGGGGAGGCAATAAAACTAGAATGTCCCTTTCATCTATTTTTGCGTTATTTTTTTTTCAGAATATCCCAATGGAATTTAATTGATAAGATGACCATGCGTGTTGTATCGGTTGTAACTGCTGTGAGTAAGGATGAGGCAGAATTAATCGGTAAATTGAAGCCTCCTCACCATGCAATGTCCCCAAAGACCCCCCATAAAACAGTCATGCTAATGAACCTCACGAACGGCTTTCAAGGGCGCTAAAAATATGTCTGCCGTCATCAGGTTCATTGAATGTAGGAACAATCAGCCATTCGGTCACATAAACACGTGTAATATTCACCCTTTTTTACAGAACTTTAGGATACAAATAACAGCAAAGGAACTATTTACTTAGCTATGTTCCACGAATACTTAGCTATGTTTGACGAATAAAACAAGTAGAAATTCAAAATAACCATTAAAAAAATGTAATGAAAGAAAGAAAAAAACAAGCAAATTTAAATAATAAACACAAATGCTAACCCAATCAACATAACCACAACCAAAATTCGAAAATCAAACTCCCCCAAATAAAAAATCTACAACAATTTCAAAGAAAACAAACACCTCACCCAATGAATAAAGCACAATAAAGCCATTGAAGAAGAAAAAAGCAAGCCATAATAGAAAATGAAAGGGAAAACGAACACCTCACGTAATGAATAAAGCACATTGAAAAAAGCAAGCCATAATAGAAAATGAAAGGGAAAACGAACACCTCACCTAATGAATAAAGCACAATAAAACAACTGAAAAGAAAAAAAAAACATAAGAAATAGAAAATAAAAGGGAAAACGAGCACCATACTAGCAGACGAAACTCAGCCGGTAGCCTCAGTGCAGGGCAGGTCGCCGTCGGGTATGGATCCCTCTCGTCTGAGGAACTTTATTCTACCCTTAGGAGGCGCTTTACTCTTATCTGGTGTCGCTGGAACGATCTACTATTACCTCACGAAGAAGGTAATGACAGAGGGTGTGGGTGACAGGATGTATTTTTGGAAATGTGGACAATGTTTTTTTTTTTCTTTTTTTCGTATGTGTTTTAGTGAGGGAGGATAAACCCGCCCCCTTTTTTTATATTTTATGTTATGATTTTAAGGTCTCGTTTTGAAAGTATTTTTTTTCAGATACTCAGTCGGTAATATATGGTTAGTTAATAAAAACCTCAGTGCTTTGAATTGTAAGGTTCTTAATCTTATATTAAATGTATACACGTAATTTGTTGACGGTTTACAGTTTACGTTTTTATAGTAGTTTAAATTCAGAGAAAGTTCATTGTTATTTTGATTAATGTTTAAAAGTGGTGGTTTAGTTATTGCTAGATTTATTTATGTGTTTGGGAATTTTTTATGTTTTGTAGTTTGAAGACCAATTTATTCAAATAATTGCTGTGTTTTCAGAATTCTGATGTGATTGTAAGTATTATTTTTTTTATGTCATTCCTTGATGATACTAATTTCAGAAAATAATCAGATGGATTGATAAATGATTATAAAATCAAATTCTTTCTTTATTTAATTACTTCTGTATATAGTGCTTATTCTATCATTATATGGAGTCAAAGTAATTATCCTGTGCTGCAAAACACATAGTGGTCTGCAGTTGAAATTGATATATATTCTTCTCATACAAATAAAGGAAATTTTTTAGAATAGATATATACACCTTAAGTTCATCAAATGCAGTATCAGTAACCTCCTCCTGATGCCTGCTAAGCAAATACAAGCAGTAATAATTAGCTGAGTCGGTAGATAAGCATAGTGTAAAAGTTCCTGTAACTTCCACAGTGAAAGAGCTAGCGAGTAGTGAGGGATATTTACCTCTCTTAGCCACTGTATTATTTAAGTTGTGATACCACTCATGAGGCGCATCACTCGAAATTGTCCGAGCTCTATTTCGACGGCTGAGTGCGATGGAGATTTTTCATTCTAGGCAGGTTAGGGGGGACAGCAACTCCCCGTAAGATGGTTTGGGGAGGTTACAGTTGTTAAAGATGACAAAAATCCATAATGTAACCTAATAGTCTATATCACTTCATCATCTAAATAGCACAGATATGATGATATCTTCTTATTTCATTTTGACAAACAGAAACAACAGCTTACCAACCAAATATTGTTCATACACTCAGATTATTCATGCATTAGTACCTGCTGAGGTGACATCAGGTTAGGATAAGGCAAATAGCTGGCTTGCCACCTTAATCATGTTCAGAGAGTAGGAGGGGAGGCGATACCTCCATACATGCTGGCAACGTAAGGCTAACTAACTACTGCCCCTTAGCCTCGGACAGCATGGGAAATATACCTGTTAGTAGTGTTGTTGCTCTTAACATTCCAAAGGTACCTAACTAACAACTGTAAGTATAGGAACTCTAGTCACTTCATCCCATTAAATAGATCCAGCTATTTTCCTCAACTACCAACTATACACACTTGTTTTAACTCCCTCTCTGTTATATAAGGGATATATCTATCAAGACTGAAATAGACCATTAGCATATTTTATTTAGGCTATGGTAATTGCTTAACTTGTGATGAACTTGTGCCTACTTAAACCTACTCAGTCATATGGCTTCACAAACTCTATTTGTACTACATTAGGAGAAAGTACTTTTGGTCATTTCAGTTCGTATTCCCAAGTTGCCTGAATTACTGTGTGCTTAAATTTTATTCTGTAAAGTCAAGTCTTCCCCACTGTACATAGAATATCTACTTCTTTCTTCTACTTCTTCTTCTTCTTCTTTCCTTTTTGTTATCGTAAAAAAAAAAATCCAGTGGTTTGAGAAAAGATATCCATCCTATTAAGATGTGTAGTATTACTTTTCTCTGTTGGTTGTCCAATATTACCCTAATCATCTCTGTCCCAAGAAATTATTATTGGAAATTAGATTAATCCATGTGTCAATATGTTATTACCAAATAAGTTTTCTCTGTTCTTTTGGTCTAACTCTGGCAGAACATTTTTTTTTCATGTCCCAATGCATTCTCTGCTGATACTCGGTTAGAAAAAAGGAATGTTTTCATTTTCACATTTTTTTAGTCGACACAGGATTTTGTAGGTTTCTTTTAAGGTTCCTCATACTGGTAATCTCTTGTGAAAACAAACCAGACCCTTGCCTTTTTTTCTTAATTACTTGTTTATTTTCTCATCTCTCCATCCCAGTCATTTCTTTATATAATTTTGTTGTTGTTCTTTGTAAATTTCTTAAGCATCTTTCATTTTTAATGTTGAGGGACCAAGCTTTGATGTCAGAGTCGAAAGAATATTATATACATATTTTTCATTTGTCTTATTACTTACATATATTGAAAAGTAGGTGTTGCTGGATTTTGTACAGTAAAACCTGAGAAAACCGAACACCCATGGGACTGTAAAAAATGTCCGGTTTGGACAGTGATCCGGTTTGGAGAGGGTGGGCTTTTAACACAGGCCTACCGGAATGGACAGTGATCCGGTTTTCTCAGGTTTTACTGTAACTATTTCAAATCAGTGACGAGAGTTTTATAGAAATTCATGTCGGAATTGCTCCTCCAGGTAAAATAACTTCTGGTCTACCTGAATTTAACAACAGAACAAAAATAGATACAGTTGCTGTATTTTGTAAGTCAGCCAAAAGTACCTGAGTCTTGTGTACAGAGATTTTTATCCATTTCTTTTGAATATCATGATCTTAGGGAGGCTAGATATATTTGGAGAGATGAATATATATGCTCATGTGATGATCATTTGGTGGCCTTGCTTGAGAGGATGAATCTATATAATTTATTATTTTAATTACTCCTGCCTTTGAAATGTGCACTTACTGTAGAGTTGATTTAAACCTTTACAAGTAGTAAATTCAGTGAAGGTATTTAGAAATGCTGTGCATGCATTCTTATATGTGCGAATTCCTGATATTGTTATATTTCAGTTATATAGTGTGTTTCATGTTGAGAAATTGTCAGGTGATTTGACAATTTATGCCAAAGAAAACTGTTAGAAACCCAACATGTATGAGAATGTATAAAATGAAACTGAAGATCATAATTCTAATATTATGAGGACTGCCCAGATCAGATGAGAGTTTTTTTTTTACATTCAAAAGTGTATGATCTGTGTGTAAAAGTAAATAAGTTGTGTTTGTAACAATAGTAAAAAAATTGCAAAGTAATTGAGATCATGTTGAAGATGATTTTGATATCAAAAGGGAATATGTATTACATAGTTATGTGTAAATAAGGTTATATATCTCTGATTTCTGTTGATTCTTTGACAGTTAATTTGATTTTATTTAAGTCTGGGAAGTGGTAATACTGAGAGATTATGTTTTGATAGTTTAATAAGAAAGCTTAAATTAGCACTTCCCAATTATTTTATACTTGTAATATTGAAAAACAGCTGTTTCATTCATATTTTTTCCATCTACATAATTTGAAGTTAAGAAAAAGAAAATAAATTATAAAATTATTAAAAATAAGTTATTTAACAATCTTTATTAATGTTTATTACCAGGGACATGTAATCTTTTTATTGATATTGATACTGTTATTATTCTTTTTGATATATATTGAATTATTAAAATCTTGGTAATATTAAAGACAGTGAAATAATACAAAAGACACTTTCTAAAATCAAGGAAAAGGGTAAACAGGTGAGTAGGCATGGCATGTATTCCTGCCATCCGTGCCGATTGGGTTAATCTCAGTGCAATTGTTATTATTATTGACTTTAAAATTATTAGTTATCTAAAATTTTAGAAAATATTTCCAAAAATCAAGGAAGAGGATAAAAAGGATTAGGATTAGGTAGGATTAGTAATTTCACTCCTTGTGAAGTATATTTAATAAACTCAACTCACAGTGGACATGGCACGGGCAGACAGGTCATCCCCAGTGGTATTAGGCTGACCCAGTCTTTAATATTCCTGGAACATATAGTAGACTTCACTCAGTCCCTCTCTCACTCTTTCTCCCTATCTCATTCCCTCAAGTATCCCATTCTCTACCTCTCCCTGCCTCCCTTCCCCTTACTCCTCTGTTTCTTCTCCATCCTTCTCTCCCCTTCTCTCTCCGTTTCTTCTCTTTCCTCATAATCCTCATCCGTAGTCTTTGCCTTACACTATCCCAGCTTGTCTCTTTTGTACTGTTCCTCTCCCTTCTCCTCTTCCTTCTATTCTCTCTCTCTATGATCCCCTCCCTTCCCCTCTCCTTCTCCCTGTCCCTGTCCCTCTCCCTTCCCCTCTCCTTCTCCCTGTCCCTGTCCCTCTCCCTTCCACTCTTTCTTTCTTTCTTGTTCCTGTCCCTCCTACTCTAGCTTCTCCTCTCCATTTCACTCCCATTCTCCCTCCTCCTTAGTCTTCCACTCTCTCTCTCTCTCTCCTGTGGCACAGTTATCAAAGGAAAGCTGCTTAGTGCGTATATTATGGAGCACCGTGTTGGTGTGTCAACAGAGCATATGTTGGTACTTAGTTCAAGTTTCTGTGGAAAACAGGTTTTATGGAATGTTGTTGTATAAAAGTTTTCATTTATTCATATTACATATGTTATTTTCCTGCATGTTTGTTGAGTGATATGCACTAAACTTTATTATTTAACTTTGTGGGTTAATCCTTGTATCTGTGTTTAAAGATTTATATATATAGTTCATTGGCCAAA